TCCAATCGCATTATTGTGTTCAAAGGCGGCGCGACGATCGCTGAGGGACTGACGTAAACCAGTGGCGCTACTAGAAGACGTAAGATAAAGACGAAGAAAAGAAAACGAAGAAGAAAAAGAAGAAGAAGACAAAGGAGAAGAAGAAGAAGAAAAAGAAAAAGAAATGAGCAGCAGCAGCAGCAAAAGAAGAAGAAGAGGAAGAAGAAGAAGAAGAAGAAGAAGAAGAAGAAGAAGAAGAAGAAGAAAAGAAGAAGACGAAGAAGGAGAGAAAAAGTTCCTTCTCTTCATACCATCCCCCCTTTCTCCTTTCCTCTATCCTCTCTTTTCTCATTCGCTCCTTCCCTCCCTCTCTTTCTTGCATTCTCACTTCTCTTCCTCCATCTTTTCCTTTTCTCTTCTCTTTTCCACGTTCTCACCGTGACGAATCGACCACTTTTCTGCACTCACGGTGTCACGTGATAGTTACCTAAAAACGGGGCAAGCCCGTATACGTTGGTATAATACACGCGGGATATCGCCACAGTACGGCTATGTGGCTGCCATATTGCCGTAATATTGCCGCCATTTTGCTGCAATTTTGCTGCCATGTTGCTGTCCTGTTGCCGCTACGATGCCGCCATGTTGCCGCTACGATGCCGCCATGTTGCTGCTACGATGACGCCATGTTGCTGCTACGATGCCGCCATGTTTCCGCTCCGATGCCGCCATATTGCTGCTACGATGCCGCCATGTTGCCGCTACGATGCCGCCATGTTGCCGCTACGACGAAGGTGACTGTGGTGAATATCCTAGCGTGCATCGCGCGTGGTCGGGTCGCGGGGCTTGCTTCACTCTCTGCTCACGTTTTGACGGAAGATGCAAGGAAACGCGAAATGACGGAACAGCAGAGCGGGGCGAGCTTCAGAGCCGGCGCATTTACGCGAGGATAACAGCTAGAGCTAGCCGTGGTTACGGTAGAGGCTGCACCGCCCGTAATCAGACAGAGAGAGAGAGAGAAACGCGGAGGCGACGTAAACCCCGAATTCCTGCTGCTTCTGCTGCTGCTGCTGCCGATGCTGCTCTCTATCTGTATCTCTGCGAGCTGCTTCTTGCTGCCTGCCTTGGGCCCCTGATGGCTCCTGATATCGGCTAGAAACTTTCTTTTTCTCTTCTTTCTCTCGTTCTCTCGCTCGTTCCCTCGCTCGATCGATCGCGCGCGTGTGTAGGTGTCGCTCTCTCTCTCTCTCTCTCTCTCTCTCTCTCTTTCTCTCTGCTCTCTACTCTCTCTCTTCTCTCTTTTATTGCCATTTCTGCTCTGCTCTATCTTCTGTCAGTCTATCGCTCCAACGCCCGCCCTCTACTAATCCTCTCGCCAATTTTTGTCCCATTTTGTCCTTTTTCATGCCTCCTGTTTCCAATTTCTCTATCCTCGATCCCCTCCACCACGCTGCATCATCGGCCCCTCCCTCTCCGTTCTCTGGCTCCGTTGTCGCTGCCCGCCCTGTCCGCTCGCTGCCTGCCTGCAGCCGCGCGTATGTGACTCACACGCCACTCTCTCACATCCTACGCGTCGATGGCTGAGCCAGCTTTCAAATGGCGGGGAGACATTCCCACGATTAGCTATTGAGCGCTGGTGGTGATAGCGAATGTGTGAGGACGAGCGGGGACCTGGGGCTTCCATAGCAACAGTAGTGAGATATACGCCTTTAATGAAGCTGGTGAAGGCATTGTGGTCGCGTTTCACTGTAGTCTCTGCCATCCTCCCCCTCTTTCCTCTTGCGCTCTCTTAGATCTCGCCCTTATTTATCTTGCTTTTCTTCTTTTCTGTCTTGCTTTTCTTTTTTCATCTTTTATACTCGCGTGCTCCAGCGCCGGCGCCGTTCTTTGTCTTTCCTACTCTCGTGCTTTTATAGCTCGCTCTGTAATTCTATCCGCCTTTCTCTCTGCCTGCCTCCCGCGGGTATAGAGCGAGAGACAGAGACGCGTCTAGGGAGAGGGAGGGGAGGCGTGTGTACAATCGGGTTACGTCATGGCTTTGTCTGAATACGTGAAGATTTATGTCGTGCGCTAGCGGTATTCGCTCACGAGCGCAACGCGGAAATGCACCCGTATACCTATACACGCGGGCATGACATATTAGCGGATCTATGATCTCATCCGGTGGATGGGAGCCCTGGTGTTTGATGCGTAAGTGAAGCGCGCATTTATCGATGACGGGCCGCTCCTCGCGCTAGGAGCCAAGCACGAGCGGCTCTCGCGGTGGCCGTGAAGTCATCGAATATAACTGGCGCTGCACGCTCACGCCCCACCCCCATCACCAATCACCCGCAACCCCCACCGCGCACGTCCCCATCACCACCACCCGAAACACACCGCGACCCACCCCCAGTCAACTACCCGCAACCCCACACCCCACACCATACCCGCAACCTCCAGCCCACGCCCCACTACCGCTAACCCCCCCACCGTGCTAGCACCAGCCTCCGCACCCCAGGCCACCGTACTCGCACCACACCACCGACAACACGCCACCCCGCACTGCCACTCCGACACGCCACCCACCCCCATCACCATTAACCCGCAACGCCCTCACCCCACTCCCGATCACAACTACCCGCAACCCCACCCACCTCCACTGCAGCACCACCCGCAACACCTACCCGATGGCCACCAACGACCACCGCACCCAGCGCACCCCCGATCACGATTACCTCGCCCCCCACCCCACCACCATCTACCCGCTAACACCCACCCCAGCCGCCCAACTGGCCAGCGACCCGCACAACATAACTCCGCACGTGCCGACACCCCGACCCGACATCACCATTACCCGCAACACCCACCCACCACCCCATCAAATTCCGGCCGGGCACCCACCCACCCACCACTACCGCCGCAACCCACCACGCTCCACTGCAGCACCCAACCCGCAACCCTACCCCGCACTAGCAACCACCGAGAACACCCCACCCACCGCCCATCACACTACCCGCACCCCACTCAACCTCCATCACCACTAACCCGCAGACCCAACCCACCCGCACTGCCCAGCACCCCGCCGCCACCCACATCGCAGTGCCACAACCAAGGACATCCACCACACCGCACACCCACAGACCACCCCACCCACGGCACGACCCACAGAACACCCAACCCACCCGCACTGCAACCACGACTACCCTCAGTCCCACCCGCACTGCCACAACGCGACACCCCCTACCCCCGCAGCTGCCACCACCGACAGACCCACCCATCCGGGTAAGCCGCACTGCGACCGCACCGACGAACCCAACCGCACGCCGGCACTGGCCCACGCACCGGACAACCCCAACCAGCCCGCGACTGCCGACACCGGACAACCCGCACCCACCCCCCATGCCACCACGGACAACGCGCCACCACACCGACTGCCCACACTGACAACCGCCACCCACCCCCATGCCACCACCCACCGGGACAACCCGCCATGCACCGGCGCACTGCCACGCACCGACAACCGCCACGGCCACCACCGCACTGCCAAATCACCGACAACCCCACCCACCGCAACTGCATCACCGACAACCCACACCACGCCGCACTGCCACCTACCGACAACACCCACCCCACCCGCACTGCGACCACCGACACAGCCCACCACTCGCACTGCGGCATCAACCGGACACCCACCCACTAGAGACCGCAGCTGGCCACCACCGACACGACCCACCCCGGGCCGCACTGCAGCAGACCGGTGACAACCCCAGCCCCCACCCCCTATGAACACCTCGACTAACCCACCCACGACCGCACTGCACCACCGACAACGCCCACGTTCCACAGCCGCAGCACCGACGACAGCCCACCCACGAGCCGCACTGCCATCACCGACACACCACCCACCCCGCGCTGCCACCGACGGACAACCCCACCACGACCGCACTGCCACCGACCGACAACGCCCACCCACGGGCGGGTCCGCAGCTGCGCCACACGACGTAACGACACCGCCACCCCCATGCCACCGCCGGACAACGGCCCATGCACCCACGCCGCAGGGGGCGCACTGCCCCGACAAAACCCCAACCCACGACCCCACTGGCCACCACGCGCAAGCCCGCACCCACCCCCCTGCTCCACCGACAACGCCACCACGCCCGCAGTGCATGGTCTCTGATCTGATCAGAGTGGCACTGGGCGCATTGTATAGATCGAGAAATAAAGCGATGAGGTTGTTGGATATAAGACAGGAAGGGTTTGAAGGAAGGAAGGGAGAGGAAACAAGAGAAGAGAAAGAGAAAATGAAAGGAAGGACGTAGCATGGGCTAAGAGCAAGGAAGCAAGTGATTGAACGTGGAAGGAGAAGAAGGAGCCAGAAGATAAGGACGGAAAGAAGGAGGTGGATTAGAGAAAGGGCATACCTGGAAGCGAGAGTCGGCGAGGTAGGAGAATAGGGGAAAGGGGATGGAAGAACCGCCTGATGAAGCGGGGGAGAGTGGGGGTTGGCGGGGAGGTGGAAAGGAGTCAAGTGTATCCAAAAGCTGGGAGGGCAAAAATGACTTTGTAATAGGCACGTATATTAATCGTTCTAGTTATGAAAGCGGCTTGTCGGCCAGCAATGATTGCAGCATGAACGTCCAAGCCACAGCAGCTCACACGTCCAGCGCGCGCGCCGCTATATGTGGTATTCGCTGCTCCGCCCGATATCCAATTAGGCGAAAGGTTTGTGATGAACGCGGCTGAATGGTTGAATGCTGGCAACGATGGTCCGACCTATGGGCGGCGCTGTATCCCCGCCGCGGCTGTTAGCATTGCAGCGTGATTAACAACGAAGAAGTTAGTGCCAAAAAATTAGCGGCCTTATCATTGCAAGGCGGAAGTTCAGTGGTAAAACAATTAAGTCGTTTAAAGTTTCCGCGTCACAAATTAATAACAAGAGGTTTCGTTGGTGAGATTCATCAAAAAATTAACGCGCGCGTTCTCGCCGAGTTTGGCGAAATATTTTTTCCCCGGGCAGAATTGAGTTTTATTCTTAACTTAACCGGCATAAATCTTGACTGGGCTTTCGTAGGCAGCACGGGCCTCCCTGCGACGAACAGCGATAAGCGATTGAGCAATTTTAATGAATTGTAGTTCACCGCCACCGAACGGCGGTGAAGAATAAAATAGAATATAGAGAGCGAAATCGACATAGAAAGGCGTCACACACGGCGCACGCGGCATTGATTCTCACCGCGAATATTGATTTTTTTTAGCTAAACACGTTTAAAGAAGATGCTCAGAAGCGAGGGGTGAAGAGTACAGAGCGGAGAATGAGAGAGAGAACACATAGGCAGATTGGGGAAAGCGAGAGAGAGAGAGAGAGAGAGAGAGAGAGAGAGAGAGAAAGAGAGAAACAAACAGAGAGAAAGAGAGATGAGAGAGGATAGTAGAGACAGAGAATAGAGAGAGAGAAGAGAGAAGAGAGAGAGAGAGAGAGAGAAAGAGCGAGAGAGAGAGAGAGAGAGCAGAGTGAGCAGAGAAGAGAGGAAGAGAGAGAGAGAAGAGAGAGAATAAGCGAGGGATAGACAGTAGTCAGACATGGCGACAAAGAGCAGAGCTGAGACAAAAATACACACAGCACACACACACACCCACACACATACACACACACACACACACTACACACACACATCGACACACACACAACACACACACGCACACACACGGGGTTGGCGATTCACACCGATCCAGCGACACAGCACACACACACACCACACACACACCGCACACACACATTATATATTAATATAGTATATATAAAAGAGAGAGAGAGAGAGAGAGAGCAGAGAGAGAGAGAGTAGAGAGAGCAAGGGAGAGAGAGAGAGAGAGGAAAGAATAATATCAGGTGTTCATGTTTAATTGCTTCGCAACGGCAAGCTGTGACAAGGAAATCGCTTTGGACGTGTGGTAGAATTCATCCGCTGTCGGCTCATGCGAGCGCTGATTCAAATTTTAATTAAATTCTTCGCCGAGATATTAATTGTTTATCGCGCGGGCCGGTGCATCCGCACACGTAATGACGCGAGCGCGCATGGCATGGCTTCTCTCTCTCTTTCCCTGCGTTGCTGCGTGTATGCATCCCCCCGTCTCTACGTGGGCATGTGAGAGGGCGTGGCATGGCTGCATCAAGGGTAAAGAAGAAGAAGAAGGAAGAAAGCGGAAGAAAGGCGAAAAAGAAAGAGAAGAGGGGAGGGAAAGAATAAGAAGAAGAAGAAGGAAGAAGGTAGAAGGGTTAAGAAAGAGGAATAATTCAATGACTGCGGGTCAGCGGCACCATATATATATATATATATATAATATATATAATATATATTATAGATTATATATAAATATATATATATATAGAAGTAAAGTCCAGCCACACGAAGCAATATATATATTGATGAGAGAGAGAGTAGAATAATAGAGAGCAAGAGATGTTAGAGTCTTTTAAAGGCGTAAGAGACGTGAGGATGGATACACCGCACAACGCAGGTGAAAGGTGAGAGAGATAGCGCCATGCCATGCGCTCGCGTTCATTACGTGGTGCGGAAAACCGGCAGCGCGATAAAAAACAATGCTATATATGCTTGAGAATTCAATTAAACATATTTCACCGTAGTGTTTGAATACAATGTTCAGCAATACAACTAGTAAATAACTATAACTGGCGATTTCAGTAGCAGGATAGGCCGAAATTAACAAGGTACGAAATAAGCTCAAAGAAATATGA